TCTGCACCTGCAAAACTGCTCGTCCCTCCCTCACTGAGAGCAAAACACTCGACTAGATCACAACTCTTTGCTGTCCTTGCTCCGAAATGGTGGAACGAGCTCTCTGAAGACACCAGGACCGCAGAGAGCCTTCACATCTTCCGCCGCAAACTAAAGACACACCTCTTCAGACTCTACCTCGACTAAAAGACTAACAAATTGTAGCACTTAAATTGTACTTATAATCTATAGCAAATTGTAAATTGGCTTATTTGAGGAAATTGCATTTTCTTGTTCTTCTGAGTTTGTACCCTATGGTTGAATGCATTTATTGTAAGTCGCTTTGGATAAAAGCGTCAGCTAAATGACATGTAATGTAATGTAATGTCTTTTAATGGCCATAGCACTAAACGGAAGCAGAGAAATCTGTATTTTTTCATTGTTTTCCTTACTTTGTGAAACGTATGCATACTGTTAGACTTGAATAACTGCGTTCCAAAACATATCAATTTTATGTTTTTTGATAAAATGTGATGACAAAACCTTGAAAAACTATCCTGTCTTTGTTTTAACAACTTACATTTTGTAGTTCAGCTTACTTAAATTTTTTAAGGCAATCAGTTTCCTGATTATTTTCGAGTAAAGAGACTGGTTGGACTAGTAAAGTTAACTTTTTCTAATCAGTACTGCTTACTTAATATAACACTAATCTTTAAGTTCTCTGAACTGACTTTTTATTGTCAACATAATCAATAATATTAAATTAACTTAACTCAGACCTTTATATTATCTGAACTGATTATTTATTGTTGACATAGTTCATCATTCTTAAGTTAATGTCACTTAGATTTATAAGTTAATTGAACTGATTATTTATCGGCAACATGCCTAAACTCATTAATTTTTAGTAATGTCAAATTAAAATTGATGAGCTACTTTTTTTAGAAATTTTGAGGCAATCGGTTTCCTGACTTTTTTCAAGTAAAGTCAACTTATTACATTTTACAGTGCATTGCTTCCAACAACCTCCTTTCTGAAGCCAATAACTTGTATGTGCTTGATTTCAAGATCAGTCACAAGGATCAAGCACATCAGTGTTACAAATCTCCCTCGAGCACATCTGAACTGTAAACATCAGAGTAATCAAAGTTAAAACTAATAATGCAGCAGCGCAACAAAATAGAAGAATTAAAGGGGGACTTTTGAATATTAGATTTCTGTCATCTAAAGCTGTTTTAGAAAATGAACTAATATCAGTTCACCATGTTGATATATTTGTCTTGATATATTTGTCTTACTGAAGATGTACAGGGCCCCAGGTCCTTATTCAGAATTTCTCTCTGAATTTTCACAGTTCTTGTTTGATCGAGTTTGGTCCTTAAAACGGACAAAGTAACTACTGGGTGATTTTAACATTTATGTGGATGTCGACAACAACAGCCTTGGTACTTCATTTCTTTCATTGTTAAGATTCTATTGGTTTCTGTCAGAGTGTAAATAAACCAACTCACTGTTTTAATCACACCCTCAACTTGATTCTTTTGTATGGGATTGGGATTGAACATTTAACAATCTTTCCACAGAACCCTCTCTTCTTGGACCATTGTCTGACAACCTTTGAATTTTTCTGAAAAATTCTCACTCCACACCGGCGTAAAATCATCAAAACAGGTTATTTAGTGTTTGCAAACAGGAGACAGAGTTGACACACATACAAGTCATGTGCCAAGCCTGCTAAAAAGTTTTCATCATTAGAGCAGGAATATATACTGCAGGCATGGCATAACAACATGGGGATGGTTACGCACGTACAGAGGACTTATTGTTTACCCTCACGGGACAGAATGTCCCTACCGAGGCCAGCGCCCTTAATCTCTGCAGAAAAGATGTCTGCCAGCTGAGGGTAGCAAAAACCTTGAGTAGTACAGCCTTATTGATATCATGACACACATTATTTGCAGTTTTTCCAACATTTCCCACCTGTTCATACAAAGTATAACCAATTAAAAGAAAAAAAGGATTAAACACAAAGAAAATAAAGATTTGTTTAACAGATCGATCAAAGTTCATGAACGATTAAACCGTGATTTTAGAATGATTGTTCTTTTTATTATTAATCAATGGGTTAACATATTTAATATTGAGTGTGGCAAGCGAAGCTGAGCCAAACTCCTTATTATCTCACATACTTATTGCGCTGATGACACCCAAATCTATGTAGCGCTTTCACCAAACGACTATCGCCCCATAGATCTTCTGTGCCAGTGCATTGAGCAAATCAAAGACCGGATGTGTCAAAATTTTCTACAACTAAATGAAGACAAAACTGAGATCATTGTATTTGGTGCTAAAAAAGAAAGGTTTAAAGTAACCCAACACCTTCACTCTCTGTCCCTGAAAACATCAAATAAAGCCAGAAGTCTGGGGGTTATTATGGATTCAGATTTACACTTGGAGAGTCACATCAAATCAGTAACAAAATCGGCCTACTACCACCTCAAAAATGTAGCACGACTTAGAGGGCTCATGTCAGCTCAAGACTTAGAAACACTTGTACATGCCTTTATAACTAGTAGGCTGGACTATTGTAATGGTCTCCTTGCAGGTCTTCCAAAAAAAACTGTCAGAGTAAATACAAATCATGGGAAAGCATCATTTAGTTACTACGCAACAAACACCTGGAATAAACTTCCTGAAGATTTAACACTTGCCCCAACTCTGACCACGTTTAAAACAAGACTGAAAACTGTTCAGTTTCAGTCTGTTCAAAATGTTCAGCTTCGCCTTCTGCTAAATTTGACCTACATTGCACTTTTAACCTCTGCCTTTAATTAAACAATTTAAACAAGATTTTAATTTATAATTTTATTTGCTGTTTTTAATTGTCTTTTAATTCCTGCATTTTATTTCACTTTATTGTATGTGAAGCACTTTGAGTCTGCCTTGTGTATGAAAAGCGCTATACAAATAAAATTGCCTTGCCTTATTATTATTGAGTGTGGCCAGCGAAGCTGAGCCAAACTCCTTGTAATTTGACATACTTATTTACTGTAAGATTTCCTTTGTTAAAGTCCCCGAGGACAATAACTAAAGAGTCCGGGTTGGTCCGCTCCACACGCCGTATCTGGTCGGCGAGTGTCCGCTGAGCCTCGTGCACGTTGCCCGCCGGCGGCATGTAAACACCGACCAGGATGAATGAAGCGAACTCACGGGGGGAATAAAAGGGTTTGCAGTTGATGAAGAAAGTTTCCATATCAGGAGAACAGTGTTGTAGGATCACCATTACGTCGTTGCACCAGCTGTTGTTGAAGTAGAAGCAGATTCCTCCACCCTTTGTCTTGCCGGAGAGCTCCGTGTCGCGGTCCGCTCGGAGCAGCTGGAAGCCCGCCAGCTGGAGCGCGGAGTCCGGTATCGATCCGCAGAGCCACGTCTCCGTGAAGCACAAGACGGAGGATGTAGAGAAGTCTCTGTCTCTCCTCATCAGCAGCTGAATTTCGTCCAGTTTGTTGCACAGTGAGCGCACGTTGGAGAGAAAGATGCCTGGCAGCGGAGTGCGAGAACCACGCCTGCGGAGTCTCACCAGCGAGCCGCCCCGCTTTCCTCGCCTACGGCGTCTCACCGCGTGACGAAAGGTGAGCGCACCTTTGACTATAATGTCCAGTAATTCCACGGAAGAAAGCAGGAAAGTTGGAAGTAACTCCGCTGGAGTTGTTCCACGGATTTTGAAGAGCTCATCTTTGGTGGAAGAGCTCCGGGAATCGCAGCAGCAAACGTAATTAACAACAAAAACAACAAAAAACGAAGCGCACCGAAGCACCGAGGCGGCCTTCAACGACGCCATCTTGCATTTTCTAAATACAGACAGTTTATTAAATGCCCACCAGAGAGGAGAACACGCTGGATCACTGTTACACCACAGTAAGCAGGGCTTATCACGCCGTCCCTCTGCTGCACTGGGACACTATGACCACGTCATGGTCCATCTGATTCCTGCATACAGGCAGAAACTAAAGCTCTGCAAACCTGTGGTGAGGGAATTCAAGAAGTGGACCAGTGAGGCGCTGGAGGATCTTCGGGCGTGCTTTGACTGCACAGACTGGGATGTTTTCAGGACTGCTACTGACAGTCTGGATGAGTTCACAGAGCTGTAACTTCCTACATCGGTTTCTGTGAGGACAGCTGTGTACCATCATGCACCAGGGTGAGTTACAACAACGACAAACCCTGGTTCACAGCAGAACTCACTACGCCTGCAGAAGGATCAGGCATTTAGGAGTGGGGACAAAGACTTGTACAGTACACAGAGGCAAAATACAAGTTTAGCAAGGCGGTGAGAGATGCTAAACGACTGTACTCTGAGAAACTCAAACAACAGTTCTCAGCAAGTGACTCTGCTTCGGTCTGGAGAGGCCTCAAACACCTCACCAACTACAAGCCAAAAACCCCCACTCCATGAATGACCTCCGCCTGGCAGACGAGCTGAATGAGTTCTACTGCAGATTCGAAAGACAATGTCCTGATCCCATCCCCCACAGCTCCACCAACCTGCTGCAGTCCCCCTCCCCTCCCTCCCCCAGCCCATCAGGTGCTCACGCCTCTTCATCTATATCACCTTCCCCTCCCCCCCAGCAACGACCCTCTCTATTCTGGAGAGAGACGTTAGCCGGCTCTTTAAAAAACAAAATCCCCGTAAGGCAGCCGGTCCGGACTCCGTCTCCCCTCACACCCTGAAGCATTGTGCTGACCAGCTGTCTCCGGTGTTCACTGACATCTTCAACACCTCCCTAGAGACATGCCACGTACCAGCTTGCCTCAAGGCCTCCACCATCATCCCTGTTCCCAAGAAGCCCTGGATCACAGGACTCAATGACTACAGGCCTGTCGCCCTGACCTCTGTAGTCATGAAGTCTTTTGAACGGCTAGTCCTGACCGACCTGAAATCCCTCACCGACCCCCTCCTGGACCCCCTGCAGTTCGCCTACAGAGCCAACAGGTCTGTGGACAATGCTGTCAACATGGCCCTCCACTACATCCTCCAGCATCTGGACTCCAGAGGAACCTACGCTAGGATCCTGTTTGTGGACTTCAGCTCTGCCTTCAACACCATCCCTGTCCCCTCTTACAGGATGTGGGGTAAGATGAAAAAAGGATCCTATAATACATGTGTTGTAAATAATGAGAAAGACAAATATTACAGGAACCCCTCTAATTTATTTTTAAAGGATTGCAAAACAACTGTGTAGCATAGTGGCATCTAGGGCTGCAACAACGAATCGATAAAATGAATTTGCTATTAAGAGTCGGCAACAAATTTCAACGCAGAGCGTTGAGTGTGAGAGTTTGTTAGCGTGTGCGTCTGTGAGTAGTGTAGAGCAGCGGCCCCCAACTTTTTTAGCCTCACGGACCGCACGACAAAAAAAAATGTGTAAAGAGTGATGTATGTAAAGAATCTGGTTGTTTTTCAAAACAAAATGATTGGATTCTGGAGAAAAAAAAATCTCTGTGGCCTGCTACCACTGGTTGCTACCACAAGTTCTGACGTTTACTGTTTTGTATTTTTTTTTTTATGTATATATAAATTATTTATTGTTCAGCTGAGGTCCCTTTAAACATATACGTTTTTTGTGCACTTTATTTAAAAAAAAGCCTATATATTGGGCTTATGTCCATTTATAAAAAATATTACAACCTGTTTGTGCACTTTCTGAAGATTTTTTAAACTATGAATTTGCACTGTCAGTTCTGTTTTTGAATAAAGGTTAGAAATTAATAAAAAAAAATGTTATCCCAAAAAATATATTAATCAATTCAGTCAAAATAATCGTTAGTTTTAGCCCTGGTGGCAACAAACAACATGAGTCTCTGCATGTAGATGTCAAAATGTTGAATCAAATTTGCATTCATGCAATCACACAGTCGAGTAAATCAGCAGGGTTTAAGCACTCAAGTGTTTAGCCTTTCAACTGGTCAGCTTTGTCTATTCCATTTGCACTGTTGACCTGTGGCAAATAGTGTCAACTGTGTGGACCTTGTTGGGATCAGTAACACAATGCAAACCATCCAAGACTAATGTTGTAGCTCCCTGCTTTCACTACGACATACAATCCCAACAACGTTGGCAGCAGCAGTCAGCCGTCTGTGTTTAATATAGTGCCAAGTGAAACCCTTGGATTTCTCTGCGTTTTAGCAAAATGTAATAAAAACAATAGTAACATAGAAACAATAGCAATGATCTCTACCAAATGAATGTTTGGTGCCAATTATTTTCATGTGCTTTTAAAGAAATAGGCCGTAACTAACCAATAACTACAATCTCAACTCTTTTTTGGGCAAAAAAGACTTTTAGAAGCTTTTTTAGAGGTATTTTCTAAAGGAGTTTTCATACTTCTTTTTGGTATTGAGATCATATAAAAAATATGCCAATTTGGAAAACAGCTGTCTGATTATTATTGATCTACCCTGAGTGCATTTGCCTATTACAGCGAGCCGTCACCTTCTTGGCGCTGTCTATGGGACATAAACATGATGGATTTCATGTTCATGTATGATTTAAAATGACAAGTTTGTCAGCTCTGAGCTGAATGTTAAGAGGGATTGATTGTCCTGTGAGATGCCACACAGCTATGTATTTTTCTTTTTCTAGTCTCGGATGGAATAATTGTGGGGATAAAGTGGCACTGGAGCTGGTCCGAGTTATGCCTCTCTGTCAGAAGCTGAGGAGAATAGAGTGAGTGTTTGAACACACACACACACACACACACACACACACACACACACACACACCAGTTTTAGTTGTTTTCAGTATTGTATTTAGTCGTAGCTTTTGATAATAGAGATTAGTTTTGAGATTTTGGTTTCCTAAAATCAGGCTTTCATTGTCAGGCATTGTCATATATGAAATGGGCTCCTTTTGGGTTTAAATTACATTCCTCTGTAGTTGACCTACTTGATCCCCACACACTTAACACTATGAGGCAATTAAACGGTACGTGCGTTCAGTGTGTTTTTGATTTCTCCCAGTCTGGAGTCAAACGCCATCAGTGTCTCTGGAGCGGAGGCCTTGGTTAAAGCTCTACAGCCGTGTCCTGCTCTGCAGATGATCAGGTAAACTTTCTGTCATGGTGTCTCCCTCTTTGTTTTTCCACATACGGTTAGTGTCTTGTAACAGCCATCGTAATGCTTCAAATCAACTACACATAGTTATATAGAAACAATGAGAATATAACCACCATCACAACCACCCCTGTGCTTTTCAGGTTGTGGAGGAACAACGTCTCCGCTATTGAGGCCCAGACGCTCAGTCTGAAGGAAAGGAGACTGAACTTCTCCTCCACCTAACATGCTTTGAATGTTTCCCCTGAACTGCGACCACATGGAAGTATGAGGAATGATTTTATAGCAAATGATTACGTCATGATCATGTCACACGATGTGTTTGAATACCTTCAATCGGTTGTGTATGTGAGGACTGCAGCAGCAGGCGTGTGTAATAGAAGGCTTAAAGACCACTGTGTGGTGAACCGCGAACGCTTTTGACATTTTGCCTAAATGTAAATAATGTTAAGATGAAACAACACAATTATTTTTGGCCCGACCATTCCAGTCTGTTTGCTGTGGGCTTTGTACACACTGCCCTCCTCTTTGTACACTATGAACCTAAAGGGCCACGATTCCAGTAACTTCCATTTGAGAAAGCAGGTATGCAGACTTTTCATTATTTTGCACCGTAATGTGTTAACAATAATTAGAGGCCACATAAGTGAAAACACAACAAATCATAAAATTACAGTAAATGTTCTCTAACCATCATTTTAGGTTGTGGTCTCTATCCAAACTGCGTATTTATTTCTTCCGATATTTTGATGAATTAATAATTAGACGTTATTTAAACTGACAGAACTGTTTTTACAAGGACACAGGATTTGAATGAGCAGGGGCCGAGATGTGTTTGGGACTGTAGATAATCTTCTTTAGGGGGGTTTGGCTTTAAGGTTTCGGAGCAGCCTCGACCTCTAACATGGCAAATCTTGCTTGACATTAAATTATTCAAAAAATAAAGACTAAATTGAGTGATGGCCTTTTTTTACACCTTCTTTCTTTCTTAACTTTTACCTAAAAAATGTTATACAAACACAACCCAATATCCTCTTAAGTTGTGTCTTTACATAACTTGCTAATGTATTTTTTCCTGAAAAAACAATTTAATAGAACCTGGTATCAAGTACATAAGTACATTTCCTAAACTCAGCACAAAGGGTGTTTCATAACTGGCTCATATTTATATCGACAGGAGCAGCTGAAACAGCAGCTGCGCCCGTCAGTGACAAACTTGAGACTCAGTCACAGGACTTCAGTTCCCTCAATGAGGTGCAGTCTGCTCCTCTCCTCTATTAAAGTACTCCACTTATTTTCAGTCATGAAGTTCAGCTCACTCACCAGCCAGAGGAACAGCTGTATCGTGGTCTGTGGCTCTGGAGGGAGCCTTTCAAAGTTATGAAATATAGCAACTACCCAGTGGTGTCAAAAAGGTTACTTTGACTTCAAACTAAAGCAGAAATCCTGCTACAAAGTGACCATGTATGATTTGAAAAACTGAGTTGTATAGTGACCAATATAGGATGCCGTTTTTTGGGAACAAAGGTCTTGATATCTTTGCAACTTATGCCTCGATCTTGACAAATAGAACATATAACAACAAAAATAACATATATCTGTTGTGGATTCATAGATTCAATTAATCAAATAAATTACAATATTGTAAAAACACTGCAACCTTATTGCCTCAACAAGGATAAAGTAGCCTCCCAATCAAACAGCATAAACAGTAATCCAACAATGGGCTATGATAATAATCCATGTAGAAAAAAAACACTAAACGGTCCAATTTAAATTTATTTTTTCAGTATTTGCATCCGTTTTTTAAAATGTTGTGGTTAATGCTGAGACTGTTCTCAGCATTACTGTTCACTGTGAAGTGAAATAGCTTAATGCTTTTTACACCACGGGTAGCTGTAATAATATACACATACCTATACATATACAATACCTAAACACATTTAGGTCGTAGTACCTGTTTTAACCACAAAAGGGTGACAGAGGAACATTATATCAATAGATTCCCCTTATTAGACTATAAAATACAAAATGCACATTACAGAAATAGAAAAGCTGCTCTAATTTATAGTATGCTGGTAATTAACATAACACATGGGAGTGCCATGTCTCCCGGAAATATTAACACGGTTTCTGGTTCTAATTACACGAAACATTATCCTAAACGGAAGCGCTCTGATTCGCCTTGACGCTTTTATTTTGTAAGGAGAGCTCTCGGTACTTCCGGTAGTGCGATAGCACCGTCAGCTTGACGCATCTCGGTCCATCAGCGCAGAGAACAGAGTCCAGGTGGCTGAGAGGATGATTTACGTTCACACACTGTTGCGCCTCGCAGGATTCACGGGATAAAAAATGGCAACTGTAACTTCAGTTCTTACCCTTTGGTAGAAAAACAAAAGCTTTGGGGCCTTTTATTTCTCCTCACTAAGCAGGGTAATTAAAGAAATTGCATACTGACAAGCGACAAGAAGAAGTTGGACGTCATTTCTTTGAGGTAAGTGTGCCATCAGTTTTCATTTTCGTTCATCTTTGGTATTGATTAGTAGACGATTGACAGGAGCTGGTGTTTGTTGATGGATCGATACCGAGGCGCCGCTATGACACGCCAGTACAAATGACTTTAAGTGTCCAGCCCGTTGTAATGTTTATCCATTTTATCTTTGTGCAAGTGTGAAAGTGAGTTGCGGCTTTGCTGTATTGATCTGTTTTCAATTTGAATTGACAGGCCTCTAAATGATTAGTGTTTACGTGTTGCACATCCGTTCCATTGGCCCCTTCAACCTCACGCTTCATGGCAGACAGGACGTGTAATCAGACCTAATGACCGTGCAGGTCTCACTGCTATAAACTAGGATTACGCGGCTTCCGTGCTCTTCTGCTCGTCAACCGGTCGCACTCCGCTCGCTCCCTCTGCTCAGTTGTGACCTCCTGCAGAGAGGGGACTGAGGTGTGGATGTGAAGTGTGACTGACGGCGGGGTTTGAACGTCTTCAGCAGGGTCAGTGCGACCCAGAGGCCCCAACGGATCAGTCAGGTTTGTGCATCCGCCTCCTCCTGCTGCTGTGTCGTCCACGCGTACCTGCAGTGCACGCAAACAAAAACACACGAGGCGGTTCCAAGCCGAGGTGACATCTGCCGCTTTGGGATCGCTATTTGAAGACAGGTTTTCTTTTTTCTCTCTTCATTATTTTAGATAACACCCCTGATCAAAGTAAAACACAAGACTGACGAACACGCTAGAGAAGTTGAGAAGTAGACATATTGAAAACAGCTGTAATGGTCAATTACAACATCCTGTGTAATTTCTGTAAGTGGCGCTTTTTAACGACGGGTGCTAACAGACATTTTGTGTCTTTTTTTTTTTTTTCATGAGCTCATATAAAGGGAAAAAAGGCAGTGGGATCTTTAATCGATACAACCATGTTCAGCCATGTCAGACGGCCTTTCACCCCCGAGTGAGAAAATGAAAGAAAGAAAACAAAACAAAGTATTTTCAGTACATCACCACTACCAGTGACATCATAGGAGTAGACCGGCAGGAGCACGCTGGTTATGACACATTAGTATCTTAGCAACAGACAGCATCCTTTTAGCTTGCCGCTCAGAGAACAAAACCACCCAGATGGACACAAGGTGCTCTGTGGTTTTTCTGTCCTTAATGCCTCTCTGAAATCATTCCAAATGTGAGTTATTACAGGGAACAGCATGTTCTGACATGTTTTTCTTACACAAAAATAAATGCATGTTTTCTCGCCTTTTTTTTCCCTTCCATGCGGCGTCTCCATGTTGGACGCTTTTATGTTTGCAGTGATTTTGTTGTTTTTGTGCGCCTGTCTGTGTGTGTGTGTGTGTGTGTGTGTGTGTAAGAGAGAGATTCTACAACAAGGTCAATGTGCATTACAGGGCCTTTCATTCTGCGTATGTTTACAGCTGTGTTTAAATCCTGTATTTCAAGCAAGGCGGCAGCATTACTCTCATTAACTGAAGCCATTAGAGGTTGTGCACTTTTTAATCTTTTTTTATGTTACACATACTTCTAAAGTGATTAAACATTAAATTGATATCTTCATGTGTATCTCCCTCTGTAAACTGATTTCTGTTGGGAAATACGCAATCTGCCTGGCAACAGATATTGACACCCGTCGTGTTGGTAGCGGCTTATTCTCCTCTCCAATTGTATTTTTCTGAAATTCATCATTTTGCCTTCTGTCAGTGGAAGACACACACACACACACACTTAAATTCCTCTGCATTCCAGGACATATCATTGTGACCCCAGACCATGGCCTACACCCTGGGCTCCACCACTGATGGCCCGCCGCGCAGTGTCGGACCTCAGCACTGCGTCACCCGGGTGGAGCTGTCCGTCACCGCAGCGAGCCTGCTGGACCGAGATGTAGCCTCCAAGTCCGACCCCTTCTGTGTTCTCTTCCATGAGGTTGACGGAAACTGGGTGGAGGTAAGGATGGATGGAGAAAAGCTGACAGATGGAGAGATAATGGGAGGAAGAGATGGGCTGGTGAGAGAGAGCGACAAAAGGGCATGTTTTGTTTTTTTAAAGCAGGCGGTAAAGGGAGAGGAATCCTCACAGGGAGGCAAATGGCAGGTTGGAGGGAAAAGGCTGAACGTGGGTAATATATTGTTTGGATCATTAGGAGTCAAACCCATCTTTGGTGCTTCTCCATGCTGTTTATTCAGGGAAGTGGAGACAAGAAGCCAAAAGGGAGGCAAAAAATAAAATAAGATTTAAAATAGGATGAAGATTTCTATAAACGTCAGATGTGCTTTCAGGGTCACGTCCAACTCGTTTTGTTTGTTGTGTGCTTTGCCTTGTACACAGTAAATGTTATGAGCCAGATCCAAACTCATGATGTCTTGACCATCTGGCATGAGCCCCTGCGTGCCGAGCCCAGCAGGACTGGTGAACGTTCTTCAAACGTTGCTCTTGCACTCCACAGGCGTCATTACGGCTGCCAAGTTAATTACGCACGGTCCTACAGCAGGTTCCATGATGGGCCACTACAAGCTCAATTCTGATAGATCTATATAAGTCTGTATTGATCTATGGTTTGTACTAAGGGTGTAACCGTGGTTTAGACATTGGGTGGGTCCGCTGGACGGCCGACGGGGGGGTTTATCCAACGGTTCATAAGAGAAAGGAAACATATATTTTACATATTTTCTGCTGTATATTGGGGGGGACAGATTGTTTTTTTCTCAATATTGGGGGTGTGACACGACCACCCCCCCCCCAAAGGATGCGTGGTTACTAGGGGTGTAGCGATTAATTTTAACAACGATTCGATTCGAATCACGATTCACGGTTGCCGATTCGATTCATGGACGATCTGGGTTAATTTAGAACGATTCGATTCGATACATTGACTTGAAATCGATTCAGTAACTTTACTGGACAGTGCAGGCAAAGTTTGTGAGATCCCTGTTGTTTCTTGTAAGGAAATCAGGTTTAAATTAATTATGGATATTATAAACCAGCAAACAACAATTAATGGCAAATGTATTAACCTTTTATTTGAATCAAGTGCCATTTTCAATGTAAACATTACATTTTATCCAAAGCGACTTACATTACACTTTAAACCCATGGCTTTTTACATTTTTTTGCCCGGGGAGCAATTAGGGGTTAGGTGTCTTGCTCAGGGACACTTCGACTTGAGACATGGGGCAGCCAGGACTCGAACCACCAACCTTGCGGTTCCCAGCGCACCCGCTCTACCCCCCACCGCCACGACGACCCCCCACATTACACAATAATTACACAATGTTTGGATCAATTCACAGAACCCCGGATTTTCAACCACATTGTAGGGTCGCATGTCTTTACAGATAAACTTGTTGCTGTGATGTTGAGTTTGGTGCTGGCGAGGCCTGAGGTGTCTGCAGAGCTGCAGTTACCTGCTGCTGCTGCTGCTGCTGCAGCAGCGGTGACGCTGCTAGAGGTCCTGACTGTCGGCGTTGTTTAATCCCACGGCGCCTCAGTAGATGGCCGGAAAGATTCGCCGCGTTTCCGTGTTTTTTTAAAAATTTGTCTTCTACATATTCTACAAACAGCGACCGACTTATTTAGAACACCTCCGTGTTTGCAAAAGCCAAAATGTTTCCACGCGCTGGATCGATAAGTTGGTTTGTAAATGTCTCGCTCGCAGTCGTCTCCTCGACGCTGTGTTTTGTTGTTGTTCAGAGTTTCGCGCGGCTGCCGGTGCGTACTGATGACGTCACAGACAGGCAGACTGAATCGAGTAACGTTTAACGCGTCTAAAGTGCTAAAAAACAAACACACAAACACGCATCCACACCGTTTTTGTACTTAAATCCAATGTGCAGTTTCCAAGTATCGATACAATCGATTATGTACCATTTCAATCGATTTGTAATCGATATATGTCGTCCGGAATGCCGATTTGCGGAGCACAGATCGATTCAGTTGGATCGCAGGAATATAAATCGATCAATCGATTCAGTGAATAAATCGTTACACCCCTAGTGGTTACGCCCTTGGTTTGTACGAATTAGCATATATTCAGCATCTCTCTTTAGGTGACCCAGCTAAACCTTATTATTTTGTTCAATATGTGTTTCATGTAAACTGCTCAATAGCACACAATGGGCTTGATTGTTAATCCTGAACGCTTACTTCTGCTGAAAAGATTGCAGAGTATTGCACTCACTTGTCCTTTCTGGACCTGTTAGAGAAGGACAAGTTCGATTACATGAAAAAAACGTTTTTATACAAGAAATGAAATGTATTCCTTCTAAAATTCAAGTATATCGTTATTATAGATGGGAGCTAAATCTTTGCTTTCTTTTACAGCACTGTTATTAACTTGGTGTCTGAGCAGCACAGTGTCTCTTTGGTTGAGAAGAAAGCTCAAACAAGCAACGTTCTGGGATGTCAGAGTGCACTTTGCTCAGCATTTGGCTGCTTCCGTTCAACGATAAGTGATGCAGGTTACAACCTTCCGTAAACCAGGATTTAAAGCTGTGAAATCTCACGGCAAAATCAGTGCACTCCATTAAACTAGTGCATCCACTTGAGGATGTGTAAGTGGCTGAGAAAACATTTATTTTCCCTCTTCACTAACTTAACTTAATTGTATTAACATACCACTTTACACTGTGGCGTGTCTCTCGTTTGGGGAGATCTTCTCCCAGTCCTTCACAGCAATATGTGACGTGAACGAGTGACCTAACACAGCATCTACGACTGTGTGGAGAAATAAAAACACGAGCACTAAGTTGCTGCTGCCAAAGAGAAACATGGTAATGAGGTTCTGCTGTGTGTAGGCTGCTGCCTCAAGGCTTCTCTGCAGCAAACAGCTGGTCAACAGGGCAAACTGGCTGGTGTGTGTGTGTGTGTGTGTGTGTAGGCGAGTGCCTCGGATTTGTAACCAGTTGACGGTCAGCAGGGTACGTGGCTCCAATGTGAAATTGCCAACGGCTACTATGGCAACGGGAAGGGAAACAACAACTTGTGGTACTGGAGTTAGGGAACGATGGAGGAGGGGAAATAGGCCCAAACCTTTTTCTCTGATATTATCCACAGCTGTCACATTTCTTTCACAGGCCGGCTTTCTCACTTCCTCTGATTACCCTTCTGTTAGCTTTGTCCTTCTCTCTTCTCCCCTCTCCGTTCTCTGGTTGTCCCTCTGTGTCCGTCTGTCTGTGAGACAGAGGTGCGAGAAGCAGCTGGGCTCATCAGGGGGAAAGAGAGCGGGTAAGAGGGCTAAGTGCTGCCGAGAGTAGGTGTGAGAGAGCCAGATGAGAAAAGGCTGGAGGGGAACAGAGGATGAAGGAAAAATTTGCGATGGAATGAGCGATTTGAGAACGAGTCGAGGTAGACGGGGATAGAAAGGGACGTGGGAAAGAACAAGAAGTGTAAAGAGGGGAAGGAAGGAAACCACGATGGGAGATTAGGATAAAAGCTAAAGCTGGAGCGGCTTCAATACGCCCCAACCCTGAAAAGTGCTGCTTGTTTAGTGCTTGAGCAGATTCTTTCCTGCTGAATTTGCCTGTTTGATGCTGGGTGGGTAGAGTATAAAGGATATATATGAGCGTTTCCTCATTGGAAGGTACCGCTGAAAATTAGGTCAATAAAAGTGGTGGGAGTAAACGGAAAGAAGTAAAGTTGCATGTCTTAAAGCAAAACAACAACATGAAAGAAGCTAAAATACTCCATAGAGCTGCTTGTTTGTCACTCCAAGCCTCACCTTTCCCGTTACACACATTGATCTAATGCATTTTTAACATGAACATTTTAATTGGAGCAGCTTAAATAGACCACGAGTTTAGTACCGGGATTTAAAGTGGAAGTGGCTATTTCAAAATGGAAGAAATAGCCAAAGAAGTCCTCAAACTGGGTGCCATTATGTGTCAATAAAGAAGAAGTATACAAATTGGCAGATGTCAAAAGCTTTTGTTATGTTTATTCATCCGTCTTACAACACTCACATAATCATATCCTGCAGTAACGTACATGAATACCTACTTAAAAAGCTATTTTTTTTACATCCTGTTCATATTGTTAATATTCCACCCTTTGTATTAAGAGAAAAAAATACTTTTTCAATTGCCTGTTGTGTTGCCTTCTATTCTGTCTAAATTCTGCAATAATAAAACATGCATGAAATAAGAAAGTGGCACGAGGGTCTGATTCACCACCAATAGCAGTTTTCAAGCCAAAAAGTGCGATCGTACTCTCTGCTCCCTTCCCATGCATCAGACAGATGGATAAGTGCCGTAAGAACTGATCAAGTTAAAACTCTTTCCCCTCTGCAGCTCTGTAGGTCTACAGCCTGTCTCTCCTCTTCTTTAGAAAGAGCAATCCCTATTTAGAGAAACCGAGATATCTTAGATAAAATCATTCATAGAAGGCACATTTTTATAGATGTATCTAATACTGTAAAATTATTTTCTTCTTCCACATTCTTAAGAATGTGATTTTCAAATGCGGACTCATTCCGACAAACTGGGGTTTGATGAATCAAAAATGCACAGTGAAACTTGGACCTGATGTTAATTTATCCTCTTGGGCCGATGCATGTTTACACAAAATGTCACAGCAATCCATCCGGCGGCTATTTTGAATTTGGTAGGGAACAAAGTGGTGAGCCTACAAAATCACCATCATTGGTGTCATCAACCAATGAGGTGGCCCTTTTTGTGGGAAGTTGTAAATATGAGCACCCTTAAATTTATCAACACTTATCTCCAAGCACTAAACTGCCGCGTCACTAAACACTGTATTATTATATGACAACAAACTAGTGTTAATCAGCAACACAGTTATAATTGTTATTGACATTGGATGGCCACCATTTATAGATTATCAGTCCAATGACCATATACAAATTTATCTTCACTTAGGTTCAGAAGTGGTGACAGGCTAGCTAGACATGGAGTGACCTTGTCTAATGGAGGATAAACACACTGAGCAGTCAGTTCGGGGTGAGTCAGACTGGAAAGTAAGTCAGCCATTGAATATTAGTCATCCAACCACTCGGCTTGGAGGAGCCGGGGCAAATAAAGTGACACTGAAAGGGCTGTTACAGACACCCACAGATGTGTCTGTGTGCTGACTGGGTTATTTTTTGGGGTCATCAGGTTTCACTACTGAAAACCTACTACTGGATTCACCTGGGAAAGGTATTTGAGGATGTTGAAAAGTCCTAATAATCCTGTTTTTTGAATTATCTACATGCAGATGAATGACTGCTACAAAGTTGGTAATTAGTTTGGGAAGAGACCAACAGCCCTCGACAATTGTTGGATTACCCTCAGGAGTGATTGTATTTACTTTTGGTTACTTTGTCAGATTTTTCATACGGTCAACATCCTATTAATGATAACAATATATTATTTACAGAGCGCTTTTCAGAATACTCAGAGGCATCAAATCATCATTCAGATCTACATAGTAAGGGAAAGGAAGTTTATTTTTATAGCACATTTCAACAACAACGCAATACAAAGTTCACCTAAAACCATTAAAACCATCAAAAGAAGGCAAAATCAAAGGAAATTTAAAAACAATCAAGCACCTTGATTGAAACGTCAGACAGAAATTGAAATGATAAACAAGCTAAAAAAGATGCATTGCAGTTTCCAAAATCCTTGAATCTGGTTCAAATAAAGGCAAGAGCAAACAGAACATTTTAATTTAAAGCATCTTAAAACAGTGAAAACTTTGAAACTCTGCTGTTTGGGGAAAGACTACTGTCGATACAAGCACTGTGGATATATTAATAAAATTACAGCCTCACAGAGCCGTGAGCTGTGGACTCTTGTGTGGACTTGTAAGGCCTTAGTGAAGAACTGTAGCACTCAGAAGGTTTCAGGCCTGGTAACTCCAGGCCTTACTGGAATCTAAATACACGACTTTTGAAAAGCCTACAAATACTGAATTGATTTTTCTGTATTACTACAAATACTAAATTCATTTTTCTTTATTGATATCAGTGCTGCCAACTTTTCAAGAAACCTAAATCTTGCCATGTTTTTTGAACCACACACGTTGGTGGCTCAAAAATCAGGGGATTGGAATTAATTTGACCGTATAGCCATGTTGCTATCTGGTGGTTTGTGGGGCCCAAAGTCGTTGATAGGGGCGGCCTGCTGGAGTTGGAAAACATTGGTTACATTCTGTGAAGCAAAGACACAGCTGAAGGTCCACCCCCAGGACATTTTGGTTTAAGTAGATATTATTTCCTACATTCTAGTCAATTTTTGGGTGGTATGCTAAAGAAATTATTCTGATTCATGTTCATCTGATCATGACTTGTGGGGCCTTCTAGACTTGTGCTGAACATTTAACCAGAAAACTATTGTTGTACCTCAATGACTGTCTATGTACCACAATATAGCCTAATTATTAGATCTGTGTTTGAGATTTGACTACGGTACTAACGGTATTCAACTAATTCTTGACTGAAACCTAAACTATGTTCTTAATAATTG